GAATGGACCAGCCTGGTAGTCATCACTGTTGCTAGGCAGATTTCCAGGCACCTTTTTCCATGAGCAGCAACTGGCAACTGCATTCAGAATCGATGGTGAGGAACTGCCTGATTTCAGGGACATGCCCTAGATGTGGGACTACTGTACACATAAGCCCACATAAACCAACTGTCTTGCAACTTGATATACCAATATTAGGTTCAGCCTGTACCAAGGACAAAATGTCCACTGACTTGTTGCACAAGGAGGCACCTCATGTAAGGGCAAGGTCATCCAGGATGGTCAATGAGCTCATCTTGGCAGAGGGCCAAACCTTTCCATCCCAAACAATCATCACAATCCAACCTGGCAACCTTAACCTTCAGCACGCTGACCTGAAGTAGTGGCTACCGATTCTTGATTGATTGCAGGGTTAGGCAGCAGGGAGTTGGGGAAAATAAAATTGCTATGCAGCTTTCCACTTTGGATTGTTTTACATATTTTACATGTACTTTGCACATAAGAGGTGTGAAAGGCCATTGTTGCCAGGAGAGCTGAGGGGGTCTTGTGAAAAAGAACAAGCTAACCAGGCAATTCCAATGAAAGTTCCCACAGGCCAGAACAAAAGTGATTCCCATGTGTGGATGGTCCCCAAGGAGGCAAACAGTTAATGAATGTGCCCCTCCCACTTTGACTGGTACAAGAGTCCCAAAAACAGCCAAGGCGATCACTACATACCTGGCCAAGCCCCTCTGTGACTTCCAAGGCATGCACAATGCAATACATAGTGATGATCAAGTCTTTCCTGTGATACGCAGCAGCAGATGTATGAGACTTATTTCACGTTCTCGCCTTCGAATGTGAATACTGTATAATTTTCTACTTGCAAAGTCCTTTCATCACGCAACTGACAACGATCCTGTACGCCCCCTAGCCTGCGTGAACGGAAGGGGAATTGTATGGCCGGAGGATAGCTGCTGCTAAAGTTGCACAAATGGTGGCAAAGATTACATTCAGGGGGTCAAATATTGACAGGGGAGTTACCTTTACTCACGAACTGCTACCAACCGCCTGAGGGGGCGATGTCGCAATCCACCGAGCGAGCGGCATTGTTTGGCGACAGAGTCAACAATGGGTGTTTCCCTGGGCACCCCTCCCACACACGTAAACGTTTTAGAAATCGACACCCCTACCCCCGGGGAAACCCCCTGAGTAACATCCAAACATGTCCAAACACTACCCCAAAAGTGGTCTTGGATTGATCTTCTGTAGGACCCAGACAATCATTAATTTTAGTGTGTCTGCCCAGGAAACGTTAAGTGTCTGTGACTGCAAACAGCACAGACAAAGGAAAACACAACCCGGCGCGCCAGATCGTGCAGCCACAAACCATGAAAAAAACCTCAAACTCCACATACGAATGTCCAGTGAAGTTAGTTTATCGATCTACATCAAAATTCTAACAAGGTCTAGAACCTTCCATGCGAAAACTTCAGGTTTGTAGACAAAGAAACCAGTGCGTGAGTCATGATGACAGAAATGGGAGGAGCCCAAAATGATCGATACAACGCAACGTGCCCGTTAGCATTTACGAAACACACAAAGGCCTTCCCAGATATCGGGAAATACGGATTGCGTAGTTGCATTTACAAGCCAAAGTACGCAGTTACACAACTTGTATCACACATTATGTTTGAACAGAATAATTTGTATGATGTAGTACAAACTCGCCAGGTAAGTGAAAATGTGAAAATTCAAAATATTCGACGTTTCGTAACCACGAGGCCGACGAGTGGGAGGGGAACACATCCTGTCCTATACGAACTACTGTGTATGAATGGCAAACGTTGGTCAAACGATTTTGTACTACTTGGAGCTTAATCGTATCCTAAATCTAAGCAAAATTTTAAGATTTAACACAAAACGGTCATATTGAAAACGGACACAAGCGAACGATTTTGTCAGAGCGGTTATAACGTTAGTAACGGACAGGAAACAAAAGAGGCGGGTCAGATCTCAGCCAACAGGCCGGACACCGACAGGTGTGGCCCAAGTACGTACCTGTATGGGTGCGAAGATGCGCCTTGAGATGTGAGGATTTCCCATATATTTTGTCACAGCCCTTGAAGGAACACTTGTGCTTCTTGGCGGGCTGTACGCTCATTCCTGGCTTGCGGCCTGCCCTGCGTCCCGCGCCGGGCTTGGTCTTGGTGCCGGTAGGTGTGGTCGACCGCTCGGCGCGATCACGCTTGGCCACTGCACCACGTTTCCCGCTACCCACCCTGCTTCTTTTCGGGCTTGGTTCTCTGGCTGGGGAGGGACTCCTGGCCTTCACGGAGAGATCGAGTGGCGTGGCAGCTTCTTCGAAATGGTGATCGTAGCCGTTAGGAAAGTTCGAAGCCTCTTCTGTCTTTACTTTGGGACTGCAACCATGCTTGTTACCGAGATCCGCTAGGATGCGCGCCACCATGAACAAAGGGTTGTGTCCGTGGCTGCCTGCTTTGTTGTCGTCCTGACCCAACTCCGTACGATCGGGCTCGATCTTGATCTCTGGCTTGGGAGGCGGCTTGACGATCACAGAGTGAGCCATGGACAGCAAACACTCCGCCGCGAGCGTGGTCTCGTACGAGACACCCGGGTATATCGTGGTCATCCTGTGACGGGGCGTGGAGGTCTTTGTCTCCGACGGCAGTTTGAACAGAGGCGTGGCAGCCAGTTTCTCGGCGAATCTACAACGTGCCAAGGAAGAAAACACGGGGGAAACACTGTCGAGGTGTCTCCGATGAATAACCAAGTGAGTTCCTTTCTCTACAACGCCACACTTTTGCTGGCGGGAAAATTTTTCGCCGTTTTCGAGAAGGTGTCCCGGCATTTGCCGGCACGACTAGCAACGTTGTTTCTTTGTTATGAGCCGTGCGCGCCTGGGAACTGCCACAAAAGCCAGGGAGGGGGCGGGGCATGACGTCACTCAACCCCGCTCGCGACGCTCATTGGCCCGCGATGATGACCCTGGGGTCAACTGGCCTTCCAAATGACAGCACCCACACGGAAAAAGCTCTTGCTTCTCGGAAATATCTATCTTATGCTTCTAGCAAAATATAAGGATACTTCTGAAGTGCATAATAGTGAATTGAAGTTTTCATCACTTTATATTTCATTTAACATAAGAAAAAGTGATCGTGAGTTAGTTAAAACGATTTAAACACACGGACTTTCTCGTTTTGAAGTTATCAATCCAAACCGGAAATGCATCAGCACTTAGGTATTTTTTCTGTGTCCGACTTATTTGTGGTGGTGACTATCCCTTTCAAGCGGCCAAATTCTGGACTTCAAGTGAGTGCGGGTGTTGTTCTTGTAACTTTGTACACTTCCTGAAGCCTTCCACTAACAATTTTTGTGCATTGCCGGTCGGTGAGTGCCCCATTTCGCGTGCGACATCAAGATAACCCCGTTGCCATGTCAGGGTTCTTGTCATGTTTTTCACGTTTTGGCCATCTGCCATTTTTCGTCAGGTGGAAAACAAAATTCTCGATGAATCATACTTCTAGATCAATCGACTTGGTCACATAAGTGGGCAGGGGATTCTAGCTGGACAATCATCGGTTAGAGTTCACCTGGAAGGGGGCAGGGGAATTTTGTTAGTGTGTGGGAAAGGCATCGTCATCACACCTGACGTGGCCTGTAGAACTTGTCCTTTCGGTTCTATCCGATGTTTCAGAAATATACGTGTCACGTATTCCTAGCGGAGGATGGTGGGTCCTGCGGCGATGTGTTGCGGTCAGGTCCACCGATAACGGCACAGCGGGCTCACCAGTAGAGCCTGTTCCCGACACGGCATTTCCTTCCTTCCGGGCTTGTCTGGGCGCCTTGTCAGGGATACCTGTTCAGGGGCCGCTGCAAGGGAAACT